TCTCTACGTCTCCCCCGCCTCTCTCAAAAACATCTTCCTATAAGCTTGCCCATTGCACGCTTCACAGCGTGCGGCCGTCAGCCCATCCCACTCCACATTTGCAGCAGCGACCATCTCCCCCGTGCGCCCTTATCCTGCGTTGCTCGCTCCTTGCTCCTGCTCATCGTGCATCCCACTCGCGCCTCTCGCTCCTTTCTCCCGCAGTCCCACCCACGCCGTCGGGCGCCCGCTCGCCACTGCTGGTGCTTGTGGCATTACTACACAAATGATTTTGCAAAACGGTGCCCTTTTATTAACGGATTGCGGTCACAAAATCCAATCGCCTCGGTTAATGCCTGCGATTAACGAAGGCGTGCATTTTTCATTTACCGAGGCGGTCACGTTTGCCTGCCTCGTAAAATCAATTTACGGAGGCGGGCGTCTTAAGACAACCGCCTCCAAAATTCCTCTATTTTCGGAGGCGGTCATCTTAAGGCAACTGCCTCCGTAAATCCATTTCCGGAGGCGGGCATACTATAAGGCCCGCCTCCAAAAATAGTGGCCCAGCTCCTAGCCTAGAAAAAGCCCATCTCTACCATTCTACCAGGCTCATATATAAGCAGCACTTACCTAAACACGAGCCTCACATCGCTCCTCCCCAGCATCGCTCCCCTCCCGAGTCGACTCAAGCACGACTATCCTCCCTCCCGATTCCTGACCCGGGCACGGCGCCCCTCTCCCTCACAGCGCCACTCCCTCTCCTCTCCCTTATAGTGCCACTCCCTCTCCTCTGCCTCACACCGCAGCACCCCTCCCTCTTCTCTCCCTCTCTCTCCTACATCTGGCGGCTCGCGAGGTCTCTAGGGCGGTGTCCCGGCGTGGAGTGGAGTCGATGATGCTGGAGCCGCAAGCTGGCGTCCCGGTGGCGGCGCACGCAGCGACTCCTACAAAGCGGGGGGTTGGCGGCTGGCCGCTCCTCCCCGGTGGCGGCGGCGCGCCTCCTCTCATGGTGCAGGGCGGTGGCGGCGTGGACGAGTTAGCAGACGAGCTCCTTCCCCTTCGGTGCCGAGCTCCCTCCACCACAACAGCGGCCCTGACAAGCTGCGGTGGCGCAGATCTAGATGTGGCGGTGGGCGGCTCGACGATACGATAGGTAGCCGGATCTAGATCTCGGAGCAAGCGGACCGACAGTGATGGCGTAGATCTGGCCGCCAGTGCTCGTGGCCGCCCATGCTCGTGGCGGTGCGGCAGCAGGCGCTCATAGCTGTCCGGATCCGACGAGCGGCGGCGGTGGTGGCGCTCAGATGGGCTAGGCAGGTTTCAACGATGGGCTCAGCAGGCTCCATCGATGGGCTCGCTGGATTTTTTTTCTTTTTTATTGATTCATCGAGGCTGGCATATCATCCGCCTCTGTAGTTCTGTGATTTACGGTGACCTTTGGTTGGATTGCCCGCCTCCAAAAACCCATTTCGCCCATCACGCAAAAGATTTCTGTAGTACTGTGGTGTCGTCGCGCGCCTTAGGTCGGTCCCCACCGAGCCCAGGGCACCCACGAGCGCGGCCGTGCTGGTGATGCTCGCGCGCTGCCGCCACTGGCGCCGGCTCCCACTTCGAGGCCGGAATCAATCGGCCCTGGCCTCTCCCTTCCCCTATGTTCAAATGTATGTTTCAAGTTCCAAGTGTTTCATATGGATGTTGCAAAAGTAAATCGGGATTGTATATGTTGTAAGTGTGTCAGAGGCATGTTGCAAGTGTTTGTTCAAAATGTTTTATCTGTTTTAAACATATGTTGCAGGCGTTTTTTATCTTGATGTTGCATATGTTTCACACATATGTTCCAAGAGTATGTTCGAAATGTTTCAGTTGTTTTAGTTTTATGTTGGAATAAGTATTTTCATGTTGCAAATTGCAAGTGTTTTATCTGGATGTTGCATATATTTCACACACATGTTGCAAGTGTATGTTCCAAATATTTCATCTGCTTCAGATGTATGTTGCATTCAAGTGTTTTCATGTTGCAAGTGTTTCGTGTTTCAGAGGTATGTTCAAAGAGTCATGGGGCACGCCCCGGACACCGAGGGAAGGGGCGCGGCGAGCCTAGGGTCGGCGGACGAGGTGCGCTCATCCTCATCCCGGCTCCCGGGTCCCACCCGTGCAAAGAGAGAGAGGAGGGGGTTAGGGGGAAGGAGTGATGGGTGGGGGCGCGGGGCGAGGCGGGCGGGGGACGAGGTACGCGTGCGGGGCGGGACGAGGCGGACGGGGGACGGACGTGCGCGTGTAGCAGCGAATGACGCAGCGGCAGGCGAGGGTAGGCGGGCTAGCGACCGAAGCCGAGGTCACATGATGCCGCTTTCTTATGGGCCGTTCTGCTAGATTGTTCGGTGGGAGTGTGCCCAGGTTACCGTCCGACGGAATCCTATCCCATCAAACGTCTGGGCGCCAGCAATTCCAATTTAGAATTGCTACTAGAGTATCTGCAAGCAACCTTCAACAAACTAAAAGGTGCTACTCTAATAGTTAGCACATATATTAACGAAAGTTGCATGTTTGGATCTACTCTAGTTATCTATATCTATATCTATATCAATATCTATAACTATATTTATATATCGTGTCTATCTATATCTATATATCTTATAATCTTAAACCCCAGTAGAGGTCCTATCTCAACATGTAAATTGTTCATCTCAGCAATCCGCTATCAAATGCAATTACAACTTACTATAGCATCTATAATATGATATCTAATTATCTACCTACCGTACCTCTAACCATTATGATTTTAAACAAATTTTTATATAAAAGAATATCAATATTTTTAATAACAAATAAGCGTCGTTAGTTTTTTTTTCGAAAGTATCTTCATATAGTATACCAGTTTGTCATAAATTTTAGTACTTTATTTCGTACTAGCAAATATACCCGTGCGTTGCAACAGGAGAAGAAAAAAACTATCAGACATTAATAGGAAATAAGGACAAAAATGACATATATATCTATTACATTTTACCTTTTTCATAAATTTTAATGGCTATAATTTATTTTATGATGATCATGACATCCATAATAAGGTTAATCTTCCGAAGTCTCGATATCGAGCTCCACAAGACGTATATCGCTGCGCCCGCTCCTTCGCGGCTATAAGGCACAAAAATATTTAGTCGCAAAATATATCAAAACTTTAGTTTTCATACTATCCATCCCTTGATAGAGTTAGTATTAAGTTCCATGACTTCTTTGAGAACCTATAAAAATATGTAATGGTAATATATGATTAAAGTCTGTATGAGGTTAATTGTCATCGTATCGAGAACTGGTATGTCCATTGATGATTATGACCGAGACTTTCTCGATTTGTACATGGTAACCCTTGTCAATGATTGCACTGGTATATGTGAATAATTTGGGAATACATTTATTTTGATTATATTGGATGACAAACTTCTCAAGATTTGATTTTACGGTTTAATTAGTTGAACCATCAGCTAATTCAGGTTCTAATAATAATATTTTTTATTTCTAATTAAAACTACACCAACAATTTAGTGATAAGTATATTTGTTTAATATTATATAGGTAAAAGGTCAAGATTTGAAAAATCAGTATATATTATTATTATTATTATTATTATTATTATTATTATTATTATTATTATTATTCTAAAGATAAACGGAGATACTTTATTAGGAAAAGAAAAATAGAAACAATCACACAAAAAGCACAGGAGAGAACATGCGACACTTTCCTTAACGTATCCAATACCACGAGCGTGAGAAAAAAGAGACGGAAATGAAAAAAAAAAGGACACGGAGGGAAAATAAAGGAACCAAGGATTGAACTCGATCATAATTAAGTTGCACAAATTTTTTTAGCTTTTACCCAATACGTTTCTGAGTCAGATTCCGTCGTGCTAGACAAGTGCTATTTGAACTTGTATGAGCACGGGTTATATATATAAGTCCGAATAGAAGAAACTAACTGTTATTCGGTAGCTAGAGGGAGACAGATAAAAAAATAGATGGATAAAAAAATGGTCTAAAATTTTGTCTCTTTATTATTAGGTATAGAAATATGGTCGAACTTGGATACTTTAGCTAGAGACAAAACTAATTGTATCTTTTCACGTACTAATGCAAACAGACATATATCTCTAACCATTATGCTATCTTCAACAACAACACTCAAAATACAAGAATCATTCGTTCTCTAGGTAGCGCTATAGGTAAAAGGTTTAATACATATTTGGGATCTTCTCCAACAATAAGACTTAAAAGAGAATCATTTCTGCAAATAGGTTTTCAGGAGATAGGATGTTCATATTTGGGTTGTGTCTCTTAGGCAACCCAAAATAGATCTCCGTATAGATACTTTATTGGAATCTGATTTTAATTTCCTTCCTATTTATTTTAGGTTTAGGTGTCCGTATAGGGTTTTTATTAGACCGTCTTAAATCCCAGTAGATGAGTCCCCTCGGGGAGCTACGGGTCCAACCTCTCGTGGCAGGGTGAGGAAACAGCACAGCAGCAGCCGTCCAAGCGAGGCCCAGCAGCAAGGCCACTAGTGTGGCGATAGCGGGCCGCGGCTGCTGGGAGTTAGCGCAGTGATGGCGCCAGCTCGACATACTATCTCAGTCAGTGGCCGGTGAATTGACTCCAGTTTAATGAGCAGGAGCAGGAGCAGGAGCAGCACTGTGTCGTTCGTAGTAGCTGTGCATCGAGATGAGAGAGAAGGCAGGAATCGAGGTGGTTGACCCCGAGATTAATAGGCCTTCTTCAATTCGCGATCTGATTCCCTCCACCTCACGACGAACATGCATATGCAGCTGCAGTTGTACTCAGCTGATCGCTGAGCGCCACCTCATTGACCCGGACCTCCCAACCCATCCGCCCATCCCAGCCAGCAGGGCCAGGCCACCACCATTGCTCTCCTAGCTACGGCATTCCACTCTCCGTTTCCTCTCCACTGCTTCCGTTCGCACTGCGGCCGGCGGCGGGGTTGGGTGGGTGCCTGGGTGGTGCGTCATGGGCAGCTGCGTGAGCAAGAAGGCCGCCCGCGCCGGCGCCGGCGCTGGCGCTGGCGCCAAGGGCAAGGTGGCTGCCCCGCTCCCGGTCGTGGAGAAGGAGAGCGCCCATGCTCAGCTGCCGACGGTGCTGGAGGTCGAGGAGGAGGAGGTCAAGGAGGTGGTGCTGTCCGAGACGCCGGTGCCGCGGCCGCCCATGACGCCGCCGCCGCCGGAGCCGGTCAAGAGGAGGCAACAGCAGCCGGAGGCGGATGATGAGGCGGCGGCGTCCGAGACGTGCAGCGCCAGCGACAGCGCTGCGTCGGTGGCGTCGGCTGCCAAGGAGAAGGAGAAGGCGAAGCTGCACGAGGCCGGATGGGAGCGGGAGCGGGAGCGGGAGGTGGAGAAGAGGGCGCTGGCCGTGCCGGAGAAAGCGAAGACTACGGCCAGGAGGACGGCGGCGCCGGAGGACAGGGAGAGGGAGAGGGAGACCCGCAAGCACAAGGGCGGCGCCGCGGGCGGCGTTAACGGGCACGGGCGGGCGCGGTCGCCGTCACCCTCGTCGGCGCACAGGAGGCAGCAGCAGAGCGGCGGCCAGGGCCAGCAGCATCATCCGCTAGCGCCGCGGCCGCGGCGGGAGCAGCCCGCGGTGGTGTCCGGCATCGGGTGCCGCAGCGGCCGGTTCTCGCCGTCCGCGGCGCGGCGCGCTGCCGAGAGCGCCGCCGTCCGGCGGACGCACTCCGCCAGGGAGGCCGACATGGCGCTGCCGTCGTCGTCGTCGAAGCGGTCCCTCCTCTCCCTCACCGCCGCCGCCGCCATCAACGGCAACGGCAATGTCGCCGCCGGCCACGGGGGCGGCAGCGCCAGCGCGCTGTCCAGACGGGACCGGGACCCCGGCGAGCGGTCCGGCCGGCGGTCGGACTCCCCGACGGGCAGTAGGCGCGCGCCCGCCTCTCCCAGTCCCAGCGGCGCGATCCACCGGCCCGCGAGCCCCATGCGCAAGGCGGCGGCGAAGGAGCACGGCACCCCCGAGCGAGCCAGGCCGCCGCGGTTCGTCAGGGACGGCGGACTTGGCGTCGGCGACGAGCGGGCGGCGGCGTTGGGCGTAGGAGTAGGAGGCGAGCAGAAGAAGCTGGCGGAGGGCGCGCTGGGACAGAATCCCTCGGTGGCCATGGAGTGCTTCATCTTCCTCTAGAACCTGAGCTCGTGATCATCCATGTCTTGTTCCACTCTCGCTAATCGCTCTCTTGTTACTTGCTCAGTAACCTGTTGGACATTATCGATCCATCCATCATCGATGGCACTACTGGCCATTGCCGCTCACTTGTTACCGTGCACCTCTGTTCTTGGTTTCCCCGGCCCGTTCTCAGAGCTACGGCTAGAGTAGGGACGGACAGATCGGGCCAGAGCACGGCCGGCCATTTCCAGCGGCGGCGGAGCTCCGTGCCGCCAATGCGTTGTACGAACGTTCGCTGACGACCGGCCGTCGAGCAGAGCAGTAACGCTGTAACAGTAATGTAAAGTTTAGCTCTGCACTATCGTCACCCTGCACCAATCCCTGTTCGCTTGAGCTACTTTAAAACAGTAGTGTGTTTGGCTGGCTGGTCCGCTGGTGCAAGGCAACGTCGGAGTAGATCCCCTAGGGCAGTGCAGGCGAGGACCGCTGAGTCGCTGACGACGAGACGAGACGAGTCATGAATGACCACACTACCACGACTACACATTCTCATTGGATGAGGCCTGAGGGAGGATTGTACGACACTACCACGATTGTCTGCTCGGTCGGCTTGTCGCCAGCCTTGTGGATTTGTGGTTCATGTACAGTTTCCGTGAGAGTTTCGAATAAGATGTCACGTCCCACTCCCAGCCGAGGATTATAAAGATCTGACAGCGACTTGCTTGCATTGCAGCTTGCATGATGATACAGCGTCGTCCAACTGATCGAAACCTACCACTTGGCTTAATCCGCAAGGCTGGAGTCCACGATCGGTGGTTAGCAGATGGGTGCAATTCTTGGCGCTAGCAAGTTGCTGCATACGTGATTCTTCTTCTTTTTTTCTGTTAATTAGGAGTTGCTGCATACGGTACGTAATTCAATAATTTGCATAGCGTGTACACCTGACGTGCATCTTTGACCAGCGTGTAACAGCCTCCAACTTGAGGTTTCGGACGCTGCTGGTACAGACGTCTCGTGACCCAGATGATACTTGTGAGATACAGAATGTATGAACATGGCCTTGGCCCCCGCACATGTAAGGTGACTGGAGGACCAAGGCCACAAGGGTACATTTCGGTAGTACTGTGTGTGTGTATATATGCAACAAATGCTGCTGCTGCCGGGTCGCATCACGTCGACTATGTTTCGTGTACGGCAAGGCGAACCACACTGAACCGTGAAACGTCGTCTCCAAAAAGACCAAAAGCGACCAGAGTGCCAAATCGTTTGCCATTGGTATATACTGGCATACTGCAGACTGCAGAGGCCCACAATTTTGAAATGCCTTTTATCTTTTTTGAGAGAGAGAATGAAATGCCTTTTTATCTGGACCTAAGCATTTCGCCGGCCTAAAAAGCCCGGTTGGTTTGCTTCGAGCCCAGATCATTGCATCCAGGCCCATCTAAAGGTTAGGCCAGGCTCTTCCGTCCGATAGTTTGCACTGGCTTGGCATCGAACATGAAAAGGCCCAGCTGCAGGACAACCTAGAAAGACCTAGACATTTGTGTTTTTGTCCTTACTAACTAGTATTTGTTGTGTTTCATTTCAAATACATTCGGCATTTAAAAAGGTCAAATAAGCAATTTGCAAAAACATGGCTCCACATTTCATAAAAGAATATTTGAGCTATAATATTTTTTCCATTAACCTAGGATGTTTTCTCTCATAAAGCTAGAACTTTATTTATTTAATATAGAACGTTTTTCTCCTGAAACAAGATTTTTTCTTGTGAAGCTAGAATATTATTCTTGTGAACCCAGAACATTTTTTTACATAAATTTGGAGCAAGTGTTTTAATATGGAACAGTGTCCTTATGAAGCCGGTAATTTTTCTCATGAAATAGGAATATTTTTATTTGAGTTCAAATAATTAATTAAGTAAGAACATTGTTTTATGATGAAGGTATCACATTTTCTATTTAAGCTAGAACATGCGTGTGCCCGGATGACTCACCCCGCCCACCCACATGCGGGGCCGTCGCGCGCCCCTCTGTTTCCCTGCACAAGCTCGAACTGTCGCGGCAAGATAGAGGGAAGAGAAGGGAGGGGAGGGAGAGGAGAGGAGAGGGCAAGGCGCGCCGCGCGAGGTAGGAACCGAAGCCCTACAGCAGGTCGCTGTCCACAAGCCACCGATGTTATTGCAATATGTGCAACACCTCAATCTACTATTGAAACATCCAGATGAAACATTTGCAACACATATGAAATACTTGAAACATGCGTCTGAAACACTTCCAAAAAATACTAAAAACACTTAAAAAGCCATTGCAAAACATATGCAATATCCAGATAAAACACTTACAACATATGTGTGAAACATATGCAACTTCCAAATAAATACACTTGCAACAACTTCCAAATAAATACACTTGCAACATACATCTAAAAAACAAATAAAACATTTGAAACAGACGCTCGCAACATATGTGTATAGCTATTGCAACATATGCAACATCTTGATCTACTTTTGCAATATTCATATGAAACACTTGCAACATACCTTTGAAACACTTGAAAACATACGCTTTTAGCAAACCCTGGCAGGTGGGTGGGCAGGTGGAGCACTAGAGCGTTACACAGCGGATCCGGCGTTAGGTCATCGTGCAAAAGGAGGATGGAGTCGCGACGCCACAGAGGAAGTGGGACCCAGGACGGAGATGGAGATGGAGAGCGCTCGGGGCTCGCCACGCGGGCGTGGGAGGAAGGATAGGCATGGTGGGAGGACGAAGGGCGCGGGGAAGGTGGAGAGTGTGACGTCGGGGAGCGGCTTAGAGAGGAGCGGGGACGAGACGCAGAAGAAGGTCATTGGGAGCGCCAGCTCGGCGATCGGTGTGGGCATCGTGGCTGCGCGCGGCGAGGAGATCAAGGTCAGTCTTGTGGAGGGGGCAGCAGCGAGGCGGAGTGGGAAACGTGGTACACTATTGGAAATAGAGACTTTGCCGAGTGCAAAATTCTTTGCCGAGTGTCAAAAATTGAGCACTCGGCAAAAAAATGCACTCAGCAAAGGACTTCTTCGTCGAGTGCCAGACTCTCGGCAAAAGAGCGGCACTCGGCATAGGCTGACCTGCGTAACGGTGTTTGGCCACGTCCTTCTTTATCGAGCGCCTGCTGTTAGGCACTCGGCAAAGGTTTATTTTTTAAAAAAAATCTTTGCCGAGTGTCCCAGATCTGGCACTCGGCAAAGATTTATTTATTTTTTAAATTTCTTTGCCGAGTGTTCCAGATCTGGCACTCGACAATTTTTTTAATACTTTGCCGAGTGTCCCTGCCACGGCACTCGGCAAAGGTTTTTTTTAAATATCTTTTTTTGGGAAAAAAATACTTTGCCGAGTGCCCCTGGCCCGGCACTCGGCAATGATTTAATTTTTTTTAAAAAAAAATGTCTTTGCCGAGTGCCCTGTGAAGGCACTCAGCAAAGAAGAATTTTTAAAAAAAAATCCAAACCCTCTTTGCCGAGTGCCTTATCTGTGGCACTCGGCAAAGACCCCCTTTGCCGAGTGCCATGCCCCGGCACTCGGCAAAGTTTTTTTTTATTTTTGGCCTCCAAATTTTTTGTGCAGCCCTTTAGAAGCACCAGGAACTCCTAGTTAGAATTTGGGGATTTTTTATGGCTTTTTGATATATTTAGTTACTTTATTTTATTTACTTGAATTTTTTTGAAAAATATAATTTTGAACTGCACGTGGTACGAATAATGGAATTTAATGTTTCAAAAAATGATAGTCATGTTACTGAGTGTAGTGTGAGGCCGTATCCAGGAACGTACCCAAAATTTCGGATATCTTGTTCACGAAACATGACCGCGAACTTGCGTGCGAAGTGTTTTTAAATTCTATAAAAAGCAAATGAAGTCCAAAAATCATGAAACTTGTTGAGATGTCGTGATATCATATGTGGAGGCTATGATAAAAATTTCAGAAGATTTCGTGCACGTTGTCACGTACGATACTTACAAACCAGGACATCTCTACATGTGAGGAGGAGCCAGAGGAGGAGGTGGCGCCCGTGGACAAGTCGGACGATGAGCTGGTTCGCCAGACGAATGAGGAGGAGAGGCCATGTGAGGAGGAGCCAGAGGAGGAGGCGGCGGGCACGGGTTCCGCTTCCTCCGACTCCTCTTTGAGTGTCTACTTGCGAGGTCCCACGAGCCTCCCACAGGCTTCGCTTCCTCACCAACGCCCAGTGATTCACCCCGAATGGCAAAAGTAAGTAACTTTATATGTTATCACCACCACTTCATATGATATGATAAAAAAACTAATAATTTTTCTTAATCACTTGTGCAGGAACTGGGTGGTTGTGTCGGGTGGTAACACACGGCTAGTCAACGGCATCCTGGGTCTTCTGTGCAGGCAACACTTCCCCGACATTGTCACGTACGCATCGAAGACGGAGCCGGCCTACTCGTTTGACCACTACGCCGTCGCCACCGATGTGGAGTACCCCAACAAGGCGGCGCGGGTGAAGGCAGAGCTTTGGGTAAGTCTCCCTCGCACAACATTGCTCAATACGTCGTATTCATTGGACTTTTCTTAAAATAATGAATGGATACATCGCTTTTGTATGCAGACTTATTACAGATGCGAGGAAGGATTTGAAGCCAGGGTGGAGCAAGTGACTACCAAAGCCTGTAAAAAACTCGTCACCAACATGCATCACGAGGCACGCATCTAGGCCATCGTAACCTACTACGGGTCGAAGCTTGGAGAGAGGAAAACCAAGAAAGACGCAAGAGAGATGCAGCTGACCCGGGAGCAGTACCTTGAGGTAAATGAAGAACATCAATATTGATTCGTTTTGAGATTAAGTTGGTTTAATTTGATCTTCTTATATGTCCAATACTTGATGACGTGTAGATGATTCCCTGGTGGTGCCAAGCGTATCCCGAGTGCTGGGCGATGATGGTGGAGAGGTGATTCACGGAGGAATACCTCAAGATGCACAGGGATGCCTGGGACCGTTGTTTGCAGATGCAAGGT